ATAATCATATGATATCTACACTTAATTAAGTGTTATAATCCAGATAATATCCACACTTATTTAAGTGTTATAATCCAGATAATAGCCACACTTAATTAAGTGTTATAATCATATAATATCCACACTTAATTAAGTGCTTTTTCCTTAAAATTGCCTCTCTTTGTTTTTATGGTAGATTTTTATTATACATAAATAATAATTATTTGTATAGTGGATACGTGTTTTAATTAAACAAAAAAAACATTTGAAAAAATTAATATTACACAAACGTCTAGCTCTTTTATTAAATTACTTATATTTTACTTCAATTATAAGAAGCTTGACAAAAAACAAAACAAATGTGTGCCGTACCATACCACAAAATATTCTTCTCAATTTGAAGTGTGGAAGCGTTATAAGAGTGACATCTTAGCGTGGATGGTGAGTGATATGGTTCTGATGACTGTTTGTTTTCCGTCTGGTAAGTAGTCCAAAATTAGGGACGGAGGCATATAACCTTAGTAGTCTTGTCATTAATACAAAATACAAAAACGTTCTTTTATTAAATTATTTGTAACTATAAAATATTATAATCGCAGAAAGCATTTTTCTGACTGTAATTAACTTAATTTATAGATATTAAATTTTCTAAAACTTGACTTGGACAGTTCCTCCAAGGGATGTTGTGATTTTGGACGAAAAGCTCCAACCTCTCCACAGAGTGATAGGACCTTACAACGAAGATTCGGAGATAAGACTCAAATGTCTAGCTAGAGGAGGTAAGGAGAAATTCTCAGTTCAATATCATGATTTGAATCTGACAGACATGTTTAATTTTGAAGTCATGATTTTTCATTTCTTAATACTAACTGATATTTCTAATGAGATACTACATATTTTATTCTCACAGTTTACTGGAAGCTTTACAAGACACAGCTCATTAACTGCAACAGAAACCACAGCACACTAGACACAATAGAAGCCACATTTCACTTGCTACAATAAAAACCACAGCTAATTAACGGCAATAACAACCACGGGTCACTAGATGCAATATAAACCACAGCACACTACACGTCAATAGAAGCCACATTTCACTAGCTACAATAAAAACCACAGCTAATTAACGGCAATAACAACCACGGGTCACTATATGCAATAGAAACCACAACTCAGTAAACCCAATAGAAACCATAGAACACTAGATGTTATAAAAATCACATTTCTCTAGCTGCCATATAAATCACAGTTCATCAACAGCAATAGAAACCACAGATAAACAAATTAAGAGGAATATGGAAATAAATACATCTGCATTTTACATGATTTTTATTACAAACTTTAGGCTTACTGATTTCTGGTGTTTTGCTGGCTTAAGTCATTTCAGCCATAACTTTTAGATGCAATAATACACAGTTCATAAACTTGCCCTTATTTTTCACGTATTTTGCTATTTTGAGCATCCCGTTTATCCAGTTTTCACATTACCATTTATAATAATTTTACAGAATACCAAGAACTTTCCAAAACCATCACTCCTAAGCCATAATTTTAGTTTGTTTGTTTGAAATTAAGCACAAAGCTACACAAAGGGCTATCTGTGCTCTGCCCACCACGGGTATCGAAACCCGGATTCTAGCGTTGTAAGTCCGCAGACATACCGCTGTACTACTGGGGGGCCCATAATTTTAGAAGGTTTTATTTGTTTGTAGTTAAACACAAAGCTACACAAAGGGCTATATGTGCTGTGCCCACCAAGTGTAAATTTTTCGAGGAAATGATGATTACATTTTAGGATGTTCAGTCTATCTTCAGTTATAATACTTTATTATATTTTCCCGATAACTTTATTCTTTAGTAACGTTAAAATTTGGGCATTCTTTTTCATAGTGCTGTTCGTGTGTATGATCTATTCCACTATCATTATAGGACTACCAATTGTTTATACATATATATCCGTCTGACTTTTCATGTTCGACTTCATTTATTTGTTGTTTCCACCATAAGTATAGCTGATGGCTTATTACTTTAACAGTTACATAGATTAGTAGTCATTTGCTTTTAATGTGAAACTAATAGAGATTAGCTGTACATGTTAAGAAGTTTTCACTTGAGGTAAGCAGTTATAAGTATTGGAATTTTTATTGTGTTATCATGTATAAGATTAATTGAATTGAAACACAGCCCACAACAGTTACAGCAAGACTTATAACTATATTTCACAACAGTTTTTGTCCTGTTGCCATGAAATTGTTAATTTGAAAGTTCCTAAGAGATTTTTTTTCTTCGCATAAGAGCTTCACTAAAAGTTGTTTATTTTCAAATTCTGTTAGTAGCTTTTTTGTTACAGTTTCAGAGCACTGCCTCCTGGTCGTCTTGTAATGAAGTTTATACGTAATACTTTTAGCACAGTCAGCGAGTTCCAAAGACGCGGCCCTATTTTAGAACGTCTTTGAGAAAGTTTTTAATGGTGTTTTTTTTCTGTGTGAATACCAGAGTCTGTTACTTACCTTAGCTAGTTATTTTACCGTAAACTAACCTATTTGTTATCAGTTTATCCAAGATACACTACCTTGAAAACTTCACAGAATGTTGAGACATTCGTCATCGTAAACAGTTTTCCGTAATAACTCATTGATCAAATAGTACTGAGACATTAATAATCACAAGCAATTTCCGTAATAATTTACTGATCAAATAATGTTGACACACTGATAAGCATACACATATTTTATCTGTAATAATTTACTGATCAAATAATGTTGACACACTGATCATCATACACATATTTTATCCGTAATAACTCTCTGATCAAATAATGTTGACATACTGATCATCATACACATATTTTATCCGTAATAATTTACTGATCAAATAATGTTGACACACTGATCAGCATACACATATTTTATCCGTAATAATTTACTCATCAAATAATGTTGACATACTGATCACCATACACATATTTTATCCGTAATAATTCACTGATCAAATAATGTTGACACACTGATCAGCATACACATATTTTCTACGTAATAATTCACTGATTTTACTGAGACCTATATATGTGTTATATGTGGGACATTCATTATTGATATATTTTACTGAGACCATTGTACTTTCTGTGTTATATGTGGGACATTCATTATTGATATATTTTACTGAGGTCTTTGTGCTTTCGGTGTTATATGTGGGACATTCATTATTGATATATTTTACTGAGGCCTTTGTACTTTCTGTGTTATATGTGGAACATTCATTATTGATATAATTTACTGAGACCTTTGTACTTTCTGTGTTATATGTGGTGCATTCATTATTGATATAATTTACTGAGACCTTTGTACTTTCTGTGTTATATGTGGTGCATTCATTATTGATATATTTTACTGAGACCTTTGTGCTTTCTGTGTTATATGTGAGACATTCATTATTGATATATTTTACTGAGACCTTTGTGCTTTTTGTGTTATATGTGAGATATTCATTATTGTCATATGTTGTGTTACTGGGACATTTGTGTTTTCTGTGTTATATGTGGGACATTCAGTATCGATGTGTTGTGTTACTGGGACATTTGTGTTTTCTGTGTTATATGTGGGACATTCAGTATCGATATGTGTTGTGTTACTGGGACATTTGTGTTTTCTGTGTTATATGTGGGACATTCAGTATCGATATGTGTTGTGTTACTGGGACATTTGTGTTTTCTGTGTTATATGTGGGACAGTCAGTATCGATATGTGTTGTGTTACTGCGACCTGTGATAGGACTATCTGTGAAGTGTGACGTCCACATAGTTTTGTTTTGAAATGGTGTATTACCTCGTTTAATTGTTGTTTGGGTATTGAGCTAAAAGTAGGTAAAAAGCTAGAGTAATATTTTGAAACTCTGACTTTTCTTAACATATATCATGTTAATGTTTAATTAATGCTGTAAAGTTGAACAAACTTTTACATTTGCTTGGGAACCTTTTATTTGAAGCTGCATGCAAGTTCCAAATTTCTCGGGAAAGGGGTCAAACTTTTAGGAGTCGAACTCGAGAGCAAAATGACATAGAAGTGCGTGATGAATCATCATCCATAATTGAAAGTTTCACCACTGTTTAAAGACTGAAGTAGGCCTAAACATAGTTCATTATAGAATGTTATTTATAGGTATGAAGTGTTTAAAGACAAATTTTCTATTGTAGTTAAGAGTATTCGATCAGGTGTTTGATGACCAGTGTAATTCTATTTTACAGTTTTACAGAATATCTGGTCAGGTGCTTGATGACCAGTGTAATTCTATTTTACAGTTTTGCAGAATGTCTGGCCAGGTGCTTGACGGTTAGTGTAATTCAATTTTACAGTTTTACAGAATATCTGGCCAGGTGCTTGATGACCAGTGTAATTCTATTTTACAGTTTTAGAGAATATCTGGCCAGGTGCTTGACGGTTAGTGTAATTCTATTTTACAGTTTTACAGAATATCTGGCCAGGTGCTTGATGACCAGTGTAATTCTATTTTACAGTTTTAGAGAATATCTGGCCAGGTGCTTGACGGTTAGTGTAATTATATTTTACAGTTTCACAGAATATAGCCAAGGGCTTGATGATGGAGTAGTTGTATTTTACAGTTTTACAGAATATTAAGCTAGGTGACTGATGACGAGATAGTTGTATTTTACAGTATAACAGAATATTCAGCTAGGTGACTGATGACGGGGTAGTTGTATTTTACAGTTTTACAGAATATTAAGCTAGGTGACTGATGACGAGATAGTTGTATTTTACAGTATAACAGAATATTCAGCTAGGTGACTGATGACGGGGTAGTTGTATTTTACAGTATAACAGAATATTCAGCTAGGTGACTGATGACGAGATAGTTGTATTTTACAGTTTTACAGAATATTCAGCTAGGTGACTGATGACGGGGTAGTTGTATTTTACAGTATAACAGAATATTCAGCCAAGGGCTTGATGATGGAGTAGTTGTATTTTACAGTTTATAGAATATTCAGCTAGGTGACTGATGATGGAGTAGTTGTATTTTACAGTATAACAGAATATTCAGCTAGGTGACTGATGACGAGATAGTTGTATTTTACAGTTTATAGAATATTCAGCTATGTGGCTGATGACGAGATAGTTGTATTTTACAGTTTATAGAATATTCAGCTATGTGGCTGATGACAGGGTAGTTGTATTTTACGGTTTACAGAATATTCAGCTAAGTGGCTGATGACGGGGTAGTTGTGTTTTACAGTTTTACAGAATATTCAGCTAGGTGACTGATGACGGGGTAGTTCTGTATAAGAGCGAGTGATTTATGTTATTTCTTAGAAAGTCAGTAACGAAATACTTTCTTATAAAGGAAGACCTTCCCCATTCGTCAGCTGGTGGAGAGAAATGCAACTTCTCGACAGAGAACACGAGAAGGAAGATGGTGATGAGGTGATGAATGAGCTCGTGATTCGACGACTTGTCAGGAATGATCTGAACGCGGAGTTGCTGTGCCAAGTGTGGAACTCGAACCTTACATCCTCCATTGTTGCTGCTGTATTTCTGGACTTGAACTGTGGGTCTATAGTGACTTGACTCTTTACTCGTTTCTTTAATATAACTTTTGAATCACCTGAAGATTAGACATCCTACTTAAATACTAAACGTCGGTAAACTATTTAACCTTTTAATTCTTGTATTAGTTTTTATTTTTTACAATTCCTATGACAAAATATTAAATACACTGCATTATTATCAAAACCTGTTTAAATATTAAACGCAAGTAAGAACAACAAATAAACACAAAACAGCTTATTGAGTCCAACAGCCACAGAGATTAGGGCCCCTGAATTGTTTGTTTTATTTGTTTGTTTTGAAGTTAAGCACAAAGCTCACAATGGGCTATCTGTGCTCTGCCCACCACGGGTATCGAAACCCGGTTTCTAGCGTTGTAAGTCCGCAGACATACCACTGTGCCACTGAGGGGCGGGCCCATGAAGCTTCCAAAGCTTTACTCTGTTAACCTTTTTAATATGTACTGATCACGTTTCGAATCAGAAACTTTCTACCTTGATTAAAGACGGTGTTGTTGTTTTTTCGTAAAAGATTAAAATAATTCTTTGAATAATTAACTTGCTTTTGATGTATAAACTTTTAATGAATTACTACGTTTTCACATCAGTTATACTCGTATCGATTACTGTATTATAATTTACTGCTTTATTTATAAAGAATCTAAACTACCAAAATGCCCGGTAGCTTTATAGTTTCTTTCTTTCAAAGGCCTCATTTTCCGCCTTTTGTTTCAGAAACTTTTCCTCAAGAGGCCTGATTTTTCGTTCAAATACGCCTTCACTTGTTTGTCTAAACCTCAAATCTTTATTCCTTTTGTTTCTGGGAGATTAACTGTCGTTCAAATATCCCTCTTTTTTCTTTCAGGGACTTATCTTTAGTTCATCTCAGGTTACAATCAATACTTTATACCTTGTTTTTAATGTAAAACTTCCCCATCTTTATATTGATATTGTACACAGAGTAATTCTTTATTTTAACATAAAGCTGATTGATAGTTATATCAATATTATATACATACATAGTAATGCTTAGTTTTTAAAGTAAACTTATTGATATTTATATCCAAATTATATACATAGTAATGTGTTTTTAAAGTAAAGCTTGTTGATATTTATATAAATATCATATACATAACAATACCTTGTTTTTAACGTAAAACTTATTGATATAAATATCAATATCATATATATAACAATACCTTGTTTTTAACGTAAAACTTATTGATATTTATATCAATATCATATACATAACAATACCTTGTTTTTAACGTAAAACTTATTGATATTTATATCAATATCATATACATAACAATACCTTGTTTTTAACGTAAAACTTATTGATATTTATATTAATATTATATACATAGTAATGCTCTGTTTTTAACGTAAATTCACTGATATATCAATATTATATGCATGGTAATGTTTAGTTTTAATGTAAACTTATTGATACTTATATCAATATTATATAGATAGTAATGTTTTGTTTTTAATGTAAAATTATTGATATTTATATCAATATCATATAGATAACAATGTTTTAGTTTTAATATAAAACTTATTGATATTTATATCAATATCATATACATAGTAATGTTTTATTTTAACGGTTTAGCCCTGAAGAATGTCAGATTAACCAGCGAAATTAATCAAAGTAATTTGTATAAATGATATTTAAAAGTATTTATTTAGTTCTACTTATATTTGCGTTTACAATCCGCTCACCTTACGTTTAAAGTACAATATGTCTCACCATCTTTCAAGATGTGCAACGATCTTCAAATCGCAGTAATCTGATAACAAAACAGTAACCAGCCATTGGTTAACGAATATAGGTACGTCTCTAATTAAGATAATATTCACCATGTTATTATTCATTGTATAATGGTGAAGGGGCTATCTCATATGTTACGTGATGACAATAATATAAAAATGACTAAGCTTAGACCCAGCGAATGTTCTGTGCATATGTTGTTTCTTCTCTAATATTGTGAAATCTGTATATATAGAGGAAGGTCTTACAAATACACAGACTTTAAATGTATTAAAGCAACTTACTAATATCTCTATTATACAGAAGCGAAATTTTGTGGTATTCGAAACACTGAAGATTTATAAATTTTTAAACATTAGATTGATGAATCAAATATAAGGAATTAAAAGTAACTGTTAATCAACATAACAAAAACAATAGCTACATAATACTCTTAGCAAAAATACAAGAAACATTAGGATGAATTCTTGCCCCACAAATGTCGAAAAGGTGTTCCACTGCTAAAATCCGGTGAACAGGGGTTGATTCTACTTTCGTCAATAATAATGTTTGTTTCAGCCTAGTTGAACAAGGGTTGATTCTACTTTCGTCAATAATAATTTTTGTTTCTGCCTAGTTGAACAAGGGTTGATTCTACTTTCGTCAATAATAATGTTTGTTTCTGCCTAGTTGAACAGGGTTGATTCTACTTTCGTCAATAATAATGTTTGTTTCTGCCTAGTTGAACAGGGGTTGATTCTACTTTCGTCAATAATGATGTTTGTTCCTGCCTAGTGAAGCCGCTGGACGTACGAATTCTAACGACTGAAGCCCACTATAAAGCTGGATGGAAGTACGCTTTTGAGTGTAGAACCAGAGGTTCGAGACCAGAACCTCGTATAAGCTGGTGGAAAGATTATATCCTACTGGGACATCACCTAACCAACGTTTCTCATCAACCTAATATTAGCATAAGCACCTTGGTTATTGCGCCATCTAGTGACGACCACGGAAGAAACTTGACTTGCCGTGTTGCAAATCCCAAGTTATCATTCAGCAGTTTAGAAGATTCTGTCACCTTGAATGTGTATTGTGAGTGTTTCTAGTAACTAAGCTAGTAATCACAAGAGTTATGAATCAACATGGGAATTAGGCTGTTAAATGATATTAAAGTTATGTTTTCTTTTTCTGCTTACATTGTAAGATATCCTATCAAAGCTTGATACCCTAGAAAATCTCAAAAATATTTGATCTCCTCATTTTTTACCGTCCATTTCTTTCATTCTTACCGATATTGAGGTACTTGAGGTATAGCTGATTTTATTGTATATTTGTTTCATTCTTACCGATGTTGAGGTAACGTATTTATGGGTAAATTAATCCAAGAGGCAATTTATTTAATATTTATAAATCCAGAAAATTAACACTGTAGAAAAGGAAATATACTCCACATAAAGAAATGATCAAAACGTTAGTAGAATTTTGATGAGTTGTGACTTTCTTTTCGACAGACAAACCACAAGTCCGCGTCTCTCTTCAAGGCGGTCGAACCTCCCAAGCTGTGTACGAGAACGATGATGCTTTTCTCAAGTGCAGCGGGAAGGGGAACCCATCAATTACAGCAGTATTTTGGTATTTCCAGGGGCAGAAATTAAAGAACAACCCCGAGGATGGAATAATCATTAGTAATCAGTCTCTTTGGCTTCAGAACGTGCGGAGAGAACAGAGTGGCTTTTACCGATGCTCGGCTGTAAATTCTGAAGGTCAAGGGGAAAGTGAAGACTTGAAATTGAATATCAAATGTGAGCTGAATGATTCATTGTTTCAAGAAGCGAAAAACTAATCGTTAATTCTATTAACGAAAAGAGCTAAGCTTAATATTGATCGATGAAAGCATTGAAATACTAAGACCATTAATTCGGAAACTAACTTATGATTTGATTGAGGGGAGGATTTTAATACTAAGGCAACAACTTGTTCAATCACAGGGTTTGGTTACGTAAAGACGTCAAACAATTTAATTCATTTAATTTGTCACTGATAACAAACTTATTGTAATAAGAGTAACGTTTGTATTTATTATGACAGAAAATACAACTTTTTTGGTGATATTTCTATCTAATTATGGGCATGACCTTTCAGATAAACCGATATGCAAACATCAGCACCCAAAATTCTATACCGCTATGATTGGAGAAACTGTACGAATCCAATGTGACGTCGAAGCCGAACCTGATGACGTCATATTTTTCTGGAGATTTAACAATACAAAGCAGGTTCGAGAAATCCTTACACGTGCACGGTTTAGGCTTAGGAGCATAGTAGAGTTTGCACCTAGAGATCACAGTGACTTTGGAACTATTACTTGCAGAGGGAAAAATGCTGTAGGAATCCAGAAAGATGCCTGTAAATACGTTCTTATTTCAGTAGGTAAGAAAGTTTCTTACTCATTCTGTATGTAACCAATATTTATAATGTATGCTAAGTTAACGATGACTAATAAAGGTGCATGAGTCAGTGATCTTCTAGATTAGGACACATCAGGACTTAGGAGCTAGTGATGGTCTAGATCAGGACATATCTGAAGTCTATCCAGGACATAGGAGAGAGTGATGGTCTAGATTAGGACATATCTGAAGTATATCCATGACATAAGAGAGAGTGATGGTCTAGATAAGAACATATCTGAAGTATATCCAGGACATAGGAGAGAGTGATGGTCTAGATCAGGACATATCTGAAGTCTATCCAGGACATAGGAGAAAGTGATGGTCTAGATAAGGACATATCTGAAGTCTATCCAGGACATAGGAGAGAGTGATGGTCTAGATCAGGACATATCTGAATCTATCCAGGACATAGGAGAAAGTGATGGTCTAGATAAGGACATATCTGAAGTCTATCCAGGACATAGGAGAGAGTGATGGTCTAGATAAGGACATATCTGAAGTATATCCAGGACATAGGAGAGAGTGATGGTCTAGATCAGGACATATCTGAAGTATATCCATGACATAGGAGCGAGTGATGGTCTAGATAAGGACATATCTGAAGTCTATCCAGGACATAGGAGAGGATGATGGTCTAGATAAGGATATAGCTGAAGTATATCCATGACATAGGAGAGAGTGATGGTCTAGATGAGGTCATATCTGAAGTCTATCCAGGACATAGGAGAGGATGATGGTCTAGATCAGGACATATCATGAAATAATTTAATTTTTATAAGTGTTTCTATTTAGTTTGAATAGCATGTGAATTATATATTGACTACGACATGACACTAATATATTTATTAAATTATTTATATTTCTAAATTTGTTTGAACACTAAACGATTCATGCTTAACATAAGTCATACAAACTGCCTAAAACGAAAACTAATAAATTACTCTAATCTAATTATTGTGTATTTTGTTGTCATGTCTTTTTCATGTTAATATTTGAATTCTGTTATAAGTTAAATACACTAATTTTCTTTATTATATCACAAAAATAAACTTCTATAAAGAATGCTTTCTAGTTACCAATGTTTAAGTTTACCATATTTGACAAAATGCATATATATATATATATTATATTTTGATCAATTTTATGCTATTACTTGATTTATACATTTTGATTGTCAGATGAAAAAAAACAATTCGGCATTTTAGCATCTAAGCATTTTATTTAATTAAAGGCATGTGGTAATATTTTCTTGGCTCAAGTTTGCTTTTATGCAATCGGTATTATGTCCTACTTTAGCTGTAAGGGGTAGTTGCTTTGTTTCATGTACTGTGTCCTACTTTAATAGTAAGGGGGAACTGATTTGTTTAATGTATTATGTCCTACTTTAGCTGTAAATGGTAGTTGCTTTGTTTCATTTACTGTGTCCTACTTTAATTGTAATGGAGAACCGATTTGTTTCATTTACTGTGTCCTACTTTACTTGTAATGGAGAACCGATTGGTTTCATTTACTGTGTCCTACTTTAATTGTAAGGGGAACTGATTGTTAATGTA